AAGGGCATATAATTCTTATAAATGCTCTAATAATCTCGGGCGACTAAAAGCTTTCGGGCCAGAGCTCTTAGGGCATTTTGTCGTCGCTCGCTTATTAGACCAGTTAATACCAGTGGTACTTACATACTTTTGTTTTTTACCTAATTTTATTGTTTCGGGTTTAGTTATTTACTAATCCTTCAAGACGTTTCTTCTCTGATCATCTTCAGTGATGACACTATCAAATGAATGGCAAAGATCCTGAATGTTTTATGTCCTCAAAACCCTCGCCTGCAATTTGACGCAACTGAATTGAATAGAATACCGCAAATGTATTATTCTGTTATTGTTAATTGATATTCCACCTTGACATTTTTACAGCATGTGATGCTTTGAGCTCTGAAATCTGTTCGCATTCAAACTAATGTATGACAGCGAAATGACGCACTTGTAAATATTAAAGTCGTGAATGTAAAAATCGGTACAATTTTTTTAATGGCGAATGTTTAAAACTCGCGAATAGCGAATTTCCGAATGTTGAGAAATTACTGTGCTTTGTACCAACATCATAACACACCTTAATCTTCCGGTTTGAAACTTTTCATTAGTTGAATAACTCACGAGGTTTAAGATTACATTTAAATGTTTAATGAAAAGCTCGGCAATTAGACGTAAAAATAAACTTTATGCAATGGGTTCAACGATTTTTCTGTTTTTCTTTCTTTCTACTTTCGCCTTATGGACCTAAATATCTGTTTACTTGATGTTTGTGGGTCTTTTAAACCATTACCAAAAGTCCAAAAGAACGCTTTCCTTCAAAGGTTATGATACGGAAGTAAAAAGTAAAACAACAAACACTTTAAGTACACCAGGGATGTCAAACAGAACACGTACGTGCTCAGAATACTCTTGGAACTCGCCCGCGCATTCCGGTCCACGCTGGGCCGCGGCGAGACGGAAGTAAGACGCTCCGATTTCACAGAGCTGGACAGTAGATAGCTCTGGCAACACGCAACAAAATGTAGAAGTTTCGATCCCAGTCCATAAAAAGTACTTCAAAGAAGTTTAAAGTATTTCATTTTCAAAAATAAATTATGTGTTAAACCAATTTTAAAATTTGAATATTGTATAAAAATTGTGAAAAAATCATGGAGAAATTTGATTTCTAAAAGCAGAAATGCATTAAAACATTAAAATGTAAAAATCACGTTTTTATGTTTGTAGTGGGGGGAGAAACAATTGAAAATCGCATTTTGTATTAGAATCATTATCCAAATCCTTCATTTTATTTCGATTTTTGTACTAACTTACCATGCTGGGTCGTTTTGTAAGATTCCATTTTGCTTTTTTTTAATTGCCTACATTTTTAATTGATTTTTAGCGTTAAAGAGAAAGTTAAACATTTTTATCATCTAATAAAAGTCTCTTTTTGTTGGACCAACACATTTGCTGGGTCCAATCCGCAACTTTTTCATGAAGTTTGCTAAACCCGGCCTATGCTTTGAGAATAACTTGTTAGCCCGTGGGGCAAGGAGGTCTGTCGCGTGCATGTTCGATTGATGGTCCTAAAATACTCAATTAATATTTCAATAGTAATAAACTGGCGTCCCCGTGCGGGAACTCTCTCATGTTTCCCCCAACCTCTTCCCTACTCCCTTATCAATTCAAAATATTCTTATTGACTTTATTACCGAACAGAGATGGTTCCCCATGATGACCCATGCAATTGAATTGCGCAGAATATCAAGTAATTAATTTAATTTCATATGCAGGTGCCGATTCTGCTCGTTTTTGGGCAGAAGGGGTAATTTCGAGAAGCGCCATACCAGCAAAAATGTAATAGAATGTCCAAAAAGATATCGTAAGATTAGGCGCGAGAAACGTTTATTTGAGGCCTTCACCTTAATATTCCAGGTTTTGAGGCTTTAGAACGCTTCGTTTTGGAGTTAAATAATTGCACATATTAAAGAAAAATGCTGCTCGAGTGTTGCTGGTTGCATTTGGCACATATCTTAAGGTGCGTTTTTTGTTACAGGTGTTTGCCTAAAAATTGTCCATATCGTATTTTCCCCTCATTATAAATGCACTCTTTGTCATTTGTTGTTTAAATGGATCTGTAAATACATGAACATATCTCTAGAGTTGAATGACCAACCAACCTTTGCCCACTCCCTATCTAGTGTACCCTGGTGATATTTACTTGTTCGACCTGCGTGCGCCGGCGGCTCAGAAGCGAGTCACTCTGCAGACGGAAGCTATTTCGACACGTTCATGATAAGCGGGTCCGCGAGTCTGCGCTCCCACGGCTCTCTGACCGCCAATCTCTGATTTCCGGACCCGCCGTTCTTACGCTTGTTTACTCTCGTGCGCATGGGGCGGCGGAGGAATTACTTTGAAGTTACTTGCTAGGAAGAATTTAACAATATTTTACGAATAAAGAAAAAATGGTCGGAAGCGAATTAAAACTAGTGATCTAGAATATCATACACGTTCTCGTATCTATAATAGCTACCTATTTTTACTTTCTCGTATACGTACGTACTATACACGGAGTAATATAGTTACGTAAGTTATGTAATGCTGCAGAAAATCGAGTTCGAGAATTCAGTGGAAATACACATTTTGGGGTCCCCTGATGCTGAAAAAGTGCAAAACGTCCGCCCGTCCGTCTGTTCCTGACCGTCCGCCGGTCGGCCCGTCCGCCCGTCCGTTATCTATGAACAACACTAGCGCTTAAACTAAGGGTAGAATTTTTTTCCAAACGGAATACTCTTCGATCAATCTGACCTCACTCCAAGCTCTGCGATTTTGAAAAACATTCTTTAATTTTTCGGGGATACTTTACATGAAGCCCCTGGGACATTTTCAAACCTTCCGCAAAAATGGGCCAAAATGATTTCTTTAGGTTTTTTATGAGAAGAGAGTAGAATACACTTATATATACACATACACATACATAGATACACATACACATATATAGATAACATAGATCTGATTTTCATTCTTAACTCTAAAACTTCGAAAATTGTTTTTTTTCCTACGACTAAAAAACTGAAGATAGAAATTCTTTTATTCTTTTTTTTTCAGGCCATCATTTCGTTCTTTCATTCAGGCCATGTATATTTTAAAAAGTATTATTTTTTCGGACAATAGCTTGTAAAATATAGGCTATTTCAAAAATATCAAAAACAAATTTTCTCTAAAAACTCCACTTTCTTTAAACCTTTGGCAAGAATTGTGTTAAATTTACTAAGTACACATCTAATATTGTATATTTTAAAGTACATTTGTACAATATGCATTTTGTGTTATTTTTGTAAAAAATCAGACATATATTTTTTGTAATCTCTCTCACATCGTTAATATTTACATTACCGTTAATTTGTATATATTAATGCATTTATGAATACATGTGCTCCAAACGATGTCTTATAAAGTTTCTCGAAAACACAAACGTTTTGGGGGGAAATGAGCTCGAAAATACGGTCTTTCACCAACGCTCAGACCATTTTATCGAAAAAACATAAATGCCACTTTCACCATTTTTTCAAACATTGCAGAAACGTAATTTTTAAAATATATATCACGCCATTAATATTTACAATACCAGCGAATATTTGTTGTAGTATGGGCGGCGATAAATGACAACTGGGAAAAGGGTGGGGCAAAACGGAAAATCTAGCCCAGAGCAAAGAAATTAGGAATCGAACTAGTACGAGAAAGTCTGTGACATTCGGAAGCTCCACGGGTTATTTTCTCGTAAAGGCAGATGTATAAACTGAGTAATTTGTGTAGATAAAGAGAAAGTTATGTAATGCTGCAGAAAGCGATGTCATTTAAGCGTAAATATGTGTTTTGGGGCCCCCTGATCACGGCAGAGTGTGTTTTTTTCAAAACGTCCGTCTGTGCCTCCTTCGGTGCGTCTGGAAAAGTCTCCAACAACTAAAGCGTTCATAGGATTTCCCCCCCAAAATCAATATTCTCCTATCTATCTGGCGTGACTCGAGGCCCTGCAAACTTCAAACTTTTTTTTGGGGGGGGTAATTCCCATGAATACCCTCCTCTACATTAAAAATTTTCTCAAAAACATCTTTAAATTTTGTCTTTGTACTTTTTGTATAGACAGAGCTAAATTTACGGGCCATTGTGGTGAGATGTGTGGGTTTTTGAGGAACTTGATGACGACACCAAGAACAATGGTACATCACCGAGGTGAAGTCAAAGGATACTACAGACGGATTTTGTAAAGGTACAGGATCTAGATTGTCTTTTGTAATTTTCTGGAATCGCAAAGGTTTTCTTCTCTGGGAATGTCCTCAGAGGAGCAGTAGATAGCGCGGTAAGTCTTGGTAGACCTTTTAGGCGCTGATAGCAACGGGAAGGAGAATGAGGAAAAACCGGAAAACTAGTTCAGACGCAAAAGTATAGGAAACTAACTTAATATTTTGTTGTACCACTAGTTATAATATTATATCCTACTAACACTTGAGCTTAAGTTTTGCAATTTTCGAAAATTCTGTGATTTTTCTGAAAATGGGACCTGTGCCATTTTTATAAGCGTACTTTTATCTATTTAACCAAAAAAGTTTTTCAAAAAAATGTGCCATTTTTAATCAAATGTATATAAACTAGTTGCAAGATTTCTATCAATACTGTATCGGCTAATAATGCTACTAAAGTGTTATTTGTTGATAATTAGGAATATACGAGTAGATTTAAAAGGACAGACCCCTTGATGGGCGCCAGCAAGAATTGATTTTGGCACTAAAATTTAATTTAAGTATGGAAAATGTGTGATAATATAAATATTTTTTAATAAAAACGTTTAGATGCTGAGAGATGTTTAGAAGAGAAGTTTGTAAATTATACCTGTTGGAGGGAGGCAGGACGAAGCAGGGTTGGGCTGGGGAGAGTGGGGAGGAAGAGCGGTGCGGTGGGCACGTGGGACGGGGCAACGCAGTGCCAGACAGAGCGGGGATACGAGATCGAATAGATAGAATGATAGATTTTATTCTTCTTAGACAGACGGTTAGGATGAATAATACCCGAGCTACGCGGGGTATTTCATCCAATTTATTAATAAATACCTCTTAGAGATATACCTTTTGGTGATTAATCCCTGGAGTTCATGATCTTTCTTCACTTCTGAGCCACAGCGCGCCAGGAAAGACTGTCCGCAGTTGCGCCCTGCTGGTGAGGGTGTTTGCAACGGAACTTATGATAGTAGCTCGAGCTGCAGCTTGTAACGAAAGAAGACGTAAAATACGTACTCACCACAATCATATCAGATGCTGGAAGTGTTGTCCCCTTCATTTGTTTCCCATTTTTCTGGTTCCTACCATCATAAATGTGGTTTTTAATCGGAGGCCCTGAGTCGGCTCGGTGCGGGGAGACTTACCTGGCCCACTGTATTTTTCTATTGTATTAAACTCTGAGCGGAAAAAATGTGGAATGTGAAACGCGAGAAAAGAGAAAGTTTGGGAAGCCCGGAAAGGAATTCAGTGTTTTGGAACGGAAACTAATAAATTGGGTCATATTGCTAGTGAAGAAACAGGAAGTGTGCTTGTTTATGTGGAGTCGATGTAGCAAAGCAAGTTGTAGAGGAAGGTGAAATGCCCCAAAGCACCTAGCGGAGAGTGTGAGGCTAGATGGGAAGAAGTTCTGGAATGTAAATGTTTATTCTGAGTGAATTATTTTCATTTTCCAATTAAATGCAATGTAAAGCAATCGTGATTGATACCCAAATATCCGAGAACTTTTAATAATGTGAAACTTAGGAACAAATGTATTTCAGGAAGATATTGAATGGTTTTGTAATTAATTTTTATATATTTTCTTCTATTCCTCTCTCGCCTAACAAACTATTTTCCATGACATTCTTTCTTCAATTTATAAAATATTGTTTTCACAATTTGAGTTGATTCATGTGTTTTTTTTTCATAGGATATACACACACTCACAAATAATTTATTTTGGGTTCATACTTCACTCTTTCTTTTCATATTCATCAACCGATACTGATCCCATGTACTGATTTTGCTCAAAAAAATTTATAAATTTGAGTTGTTTTCCTTTTCAAGATAATTTTGTTCATTTGCTTGGCTTTAGTGAATACTGACCGTGTCGAGGTAACTTAATGTGTCAATAGCAAACAGAACTATGTCAACAATACTCAATTAAGCAACCGCGCACTAATTATATAGCGACACTCAGCACGCGAATATGATTCGCTTTTATAAAGCAAGCCTTTCCAGGATCTTCATGCTATCTATTTGTGCAAGTTACAAACAGCAAATTTCTTATACTATCAGGATGCGAATATCTCAAGAAATGGAGCTTGGCGTATTCTCAGCCTATGTGGTACAGACTCGCCCCGTTTTACAGTAATCGTTTTCTTGTTCTTGTGACCCACGTGATTTGTTTTATCGTTTCGATCATTACTGTTATATCAATATGTAGCTTCTTTATTCCTTAGTCTCGCTCTAGTAAAATTCTTTATTGATCAGTCCCCTAATATTCCAAGTTCCGATCTTCTTTGAATTTTCTGTTCCAAATCGTTTAACTCTATTCTTATTTTTGCCGTTCTAATACACTTTCAAAGGTATCCGTCTCCACTGGTCGTGCCGTTGAAGGCTTTGTGGCTGAATTTGTTTTCGAGGTTTTCCTTTCACTAAGGAGACTGATTTACATGCTCCGGAGGCCCCCTCCCCCACAAAACTGTGGTGACGATTTCCTTCTCTCATCCCAGAGCTCCCGGTCTAAAGTTACAGTGACTCGCTGAAGAACTTCTGCGAACTACTTCTGAAGAACTACTGTGTGCTTTCCGCAAAGAGTATCCTGGGCCCGCCACGATGAGGTCCACAAGAAGGAGGAGAGAGAGGAAGCTCTTTCTCATCGCTAACAGTCGAGGTACCCATTACAGGAGAGCTTTTGCTGGTATTTGATGGTGTAAGTGTAGGGGCATCAGCTCACGACCATTACTCTGGCCAACCTTTATCCCGCGTACGTACTACATGCGCGTGCTAATTGTGAAATGGAAATGCTATTCAGTTACTTTTTTTCTTTTTCAAGTTAAAAATTGTGCAGACTACTAATAGTAAAATTTAATATTTACGGAAACCGAAAACGTGATTCCCCAATAATATCTAAATTAATAATGTTGCCGACCACTGAAGTTGATGCATTCACGTTTACATTAATTTTGTTTTTTAACTATTTCTTTAAAAATCTAATAATCTTATCTGGGCGTATTTGGTTGGAACTTCTGTTATTTATATTATTTTTAAAGTATTCCTTAGCATGGAACTTCCTTGCTTCATAATAATAAAAGTTTGACGATCCTTTTTGTATTCATTGTAGTACGAAAGTAATACTTCTCAAGTGAGATCCCTAGAACTCGTCTCTGTTACCAACATATGTTTGTCCCTTCTTTTGTACAACTCATTCAACACTTTAATTTGCAAACATTGTTACTATATTACAGAGAATTAAATTAAGTTACGAGTGGCTTTCTTGGCTTAAATAGATTTTATTCACTCTTTTTTTTGTCCCAATCGGCCTACCTGCCTTGTGGGCCAATTGCAGTTTACTCTAACATCTAAAACCTTCCATTTGCGCAATCAATAACTACATTTCATCTTCATTAATTAATAAAAATGTTTTGTGTAGTGTGTCGCTAGAAACGTTAAGGGGCCCATTCACACTCGGGGTGGGGGAGGCCAGGGCTAAATGGTCAGCTTGTTTCCAATCCCCACTTTCTCACATAAGATGAAGCACGCCAATGGAGACATTTATATCAATTTTTTTAGGCAGGGAGAGAGAGAGACTCCAAACCATTGTCGGCTCATTTTTAAAAGAATCCAATTAAGAACTTTCAAGAAGACATCCGTCCGGGCTCGGTTGCCAGTTATCCATCCCACAACTCGACCATCCGATCAACCAGAGATTCACCTGTCCTGGTATAAGCATAAAAAGTTGTGGCTATGTTGACGCTGATCAAAGTAGGTATGCGTGGATTTTCAAAGACGAATTGATGAGGTCGAGCATGGTTGATTGAACAAAGTAATCGAACACATGCGCTCTTGTATGCAAACAAGCAAGCAAGCAGGAAAGAAGTCTTCAATGACCACGGGCGTCGCCCCTGAGAGAGGGTCAGGAGGAACACTTCCCGCAATAATTTCTTTAAAATAAAAATTGAATTGTTTGAGCCCCAGTTGTAGAAACATGACACCTAACACCTTTCAACGAACAATGTTAAACGCATTTAGACTGCTTCCAATTGTTTCTTGAGACCGATATATTCCATAAGGGCTTCCCATGTCATCTTCACCTTCTTTGTTGGATTGTTACCCCTCCCACTCGTGGCTCAGGCCATAAACTGATGTCACTGCAGTACCTCTGACCAGGAGGGCCTGGGGTTCAAGTGCCGACGATGACAGGATTTTCGACACTAGCCAGATAGCAATATCGAGATCAGCCACTGTGACAAGGAGAATTCTAGCGACCGGCTGCTGTTATCGGTAGTTTTCCATGATTTTTCCGATCAATACCACGCGAATGCCGGAGCAGTACCCTAACAAACGGGCCACGGACCGCGCGCGATCTTTTCTTTCCATTTCTTGTCGTATCCTCACCCCTTACATACCCTTACACGTATACACTACTGCCCATGCCGGGAGACCGGTCGGAATATTGTCCCAGCTGGGGCAGAGCCCCTCTGGTGGGAGATACCTGATTGGGGAAAACCTCACTAGCAGTCGGTAGGCGGTGCTGGATCTCGCCATCCAGCCGCGCAAGATCACCGCCACCTCCCAAGCAAAGAACTTGCAATACATACGCAAAGAACTTGCGGTTGGCGTGCCGGGCACCATTCGCAATGACGCGCTCTCCCACCCGTCGCCTTGTGTGCGCAGGCGGAGGTGGAGGCGCTGGAGGCGGAGCGCGACGAGCGCGCGGCGCTGCTGGTGCAGGCGCAGCAGGAGCAGCTGGCGTGGGAGAAGAAGCTGCGCCTGGTGCAGCGCGCGCTCGCCGACATCAAGGACGAGCGCTCCACCGCCGGCGAGACGTGCGCCATGCGCGCCGAGATCCACCGCATGGAGGTGAGTGAGCACCCGTGATGCGACACCGAGAAACACAGATTTTTATAAGAAGGAGCTAACGCTCTAGTGGCCCAGTGGCGAAGTTACGCTTGCCTTTCACCACTGAGGTTCCGGGTTCGATTCTCATAGAATCCTCGTAGAACCTCATGTGAAATTTGTTACGACAAAACGAGTTGGCCTGCTTCACAGAATCTAACAGGAGAGACTCATAGGCTCAAGAACTCAACGACCACAGAATCTTCAGATAAGTTGCCAATACTAGCTGTCAAAGTCGTGCATTCTTATAAATACCGCTCTGTAACAAAACACCCATGTTTGCAAAATATCCATGTTAATAATATATCGACTAAAAACCATCGTTGTTTTTCAACATCCATGTTTTCAAGATGATTTAGTAACCTATAATAACACCTGTGAAGCGCCCTAAACCTTACCCCTATCCTTATTCCTTCCCAATTCTGGCCGATGGGTAGATGACGCAAGCGCGAAGACGCTACCTGTTGGCGATTCCAACGTGTCTTGAAAATACAGCGTTCCCTAGATGGCGCTTATTAACGGAGGATTACTCCAGTGCGCTGATCGGTTCTTACGGAGTTTGGAGAAGCGTTGCGTCGATATAGACACAACAAGTGACAGTTCGCTAAACAAGTAAACATCACCTGTAGTTCAGAGAAGTATCTCTGCGTGCGGTAGCTGTTCAGCCGTGCCTCATCGTCAAGTGTGTTACGGCTCCCGTTAAGATATACAGAAGTGTAAGAGTTTCGCTCACGTATATGCACTTACGTAAGTCCGGGAAATATTGAAATATAATTACGAATGTGGGGAATATGTCTCACAAATGTCTCATGGCGCACTATATTTTGTGGCAAGAGGACATCACAAAAGGAAGCGGCGAAGCCATTTACAAGTTAGCCAACTTCAAACGTACGAATGCAGGAAG